TGAAATAAATCCAGGGCCAACTAACAGAGTAAGTACATATATTAATTTTAAGTGAGTTTAACGAATACAACGTCTCATTTTAAAATTTAGGCAGTTTCATTCAAGGGTGCATCGTATGCAATGATACAACCACATCTTGATAGCAACTCCAACAAACGACAACTTAACCCAACATATGCAAATGGACAATGGGGAAAAATTTCTGAGATCCTATTTGGAATAAACGAACTCAAGCTTAGAACTTTCTTGCGGAACTTTGTATCGTGTTTTCCAAGCTCTGATGAGGTGAGCTTCTTTTTGTTGAGAATACTGAAGGAGTAAAATTATGCATATGACATAACCATGTGTTGATTTATAGCCGAAATATAATGGAACGACTCTCACTGCTATTTCCGATGCTTTATCTTCTCTCGAGCCAATCATTAAAACCAATGTTAATTTAAGACAAGAAAAATCTGTGTGGGGTTGTTTATCGCTTAAGCTATATTCATCTAATAACATTATCGATCGGCAATTTCTATCACAACTGTGGGCAATTGGAAATGAGGTATGCACCTTATTATATTATTGTTATTATTGTTATGATTTATTATTTCTATTAGAGACCATATAATATATGGTCTTTATATGAGTCTTATATCACAATATGTATTATAGGTCGAGTCACTGGACAACGCACTCAGTAATTTTATGATGCCGAAGCAGATCACTAGTGGAAAACAAAGGAAATTGCATGAAAAAAATCAAAAAGACTATGCTAATAAAAATTCTCGACGCCGCAAAACTGCTCCAGCCCACGTTGAGGAGCCTCTGTCTCCAATTCCTTCTGGAGAGGAGGACGTGACACGGCTTCTTTCTGAACAATTCAAGAAAGAAATCTGGCACTTCCTTACTACACCATGCGAAGTTTGTGACCTCCTAATATATTCTACACCAAATCTTAAGTTTAGTTTAATACTTACGGATAGTATAAAGAATTTGTTTTATTCATTTGATAAGGAATACGAATTCCCATCATCAAACAAAATGACAGTGTGTGCCAGATGTAAAAGGAATTTAGATAAAGGAAAGATGCCACCAAAGGCAAAGGTTAATTCGTTGCAACTATCCCCTGTACCGCTCCAAATATCATGTCTCACTGCAGCAGAAGTTAGGTTAATCTCACAAGTAAAGGTTTTCATGAAAATATTTCTTTTGTGCAAGGGAAGAGGTCAAAAAGCTATGAAGGGATTAGTTGTTCATTTTCCTCAACAGATCCAAGAAGTCATAAAACAATTACCACTAAACTCGGAGAATGCAGATTTCATAGTTGTGAATGAGACAGGAGACAGAACTACTAAAAGTGCATCTCTAAATATAAGACCTGCAAAGATCTATGAAGCTCTGAGTTGGTTAATCCAACATAATCCTCTTTATAGTAATATTAAAATTCAAGATGAAGTGAATTTGCAAGAATTTCCATCAATTTCACTGGAGCAATCACAAGTCCAATCTTCTGAAGTTTATGATGGGTCAAATTTGGCATATGTTGAATTGAGAGCTGGAATATTTGTTTTGCAAGGTTCATTTTCACAAGGTCACGAAATATTTCTTGAAAATCGAGGAAAACAGTGCACCGCGATGGTAGCAAGTTTTCTTGCGCATTGCTTAATTGAACCTCCTGTGACATGGACACGACAGTGCATTGATGATGTCATAATCGGAGGAAATGATTACTACACAAAAGTAAAAGCTGAATTAAATCATAATCACGATTATTTAACTGCTGATGAAGTGGCAGGATATATAATGGCATTTAGAGGTGCACAGGTGGGTCTTAACATTAATAACTCCACACCTGCCATCCAACTACATGGATATGCAAATCGGGCTCGAGGTGTCGATTTGCAGAAACTTCCTGAGCAAATATCCTCATTTATTAGACTGGGTTACACTTATGGAATTTTAACTATAGGATGCTATTCCATGGGCATTTTTGTTGATGGCGACTTTACGTATTACTTTGATAGTCATGGTAGAGGCAAGCACGGCGGAAAGACAAGAGCAGGAGAGGGTACATCATGTGTACTTAAAATTGACATTGATCTTGCTTCGTCAAAGATTTCAACCCTGGCAAATAGAAACTGCGTTTCCTCATCCATTAACCCGACAGACCACCTAAATTTGATGTTCACTATCACTGTATTCAATTTAACAAGAGGTGAAAGTTCACAATCTTCAACTACTCCGCAAAGTGCACTATGCAATTCTCCACCTCGCAAACTTCCACGTCAAAATGAATTTGCTCCCGACTCTGACTCAGATGAAGAAATGGATCATGATGAAATTGAACCTGCTCTTCCATCCCTTCCTCATTTTCATCGTGTTCTTGAAACAGACTGTGTCATAGAGAGAGATGATGTGATTGAGCCATTTGTTGACGAAATTATTGAGGGGGGGCATAATCTTCACAGAAATAATGGAAGCCCAATTAACGAACACGTTGAACAATGTCTTGATTTGCTTGCTTTTCCGAATTTGTTTCCATATGGGGTAGGGGGTTTGAAGGCATTTAGAAAAATTCCTGTCACCCCATTGGACTATTTTCAACAAAGGTTGATGTCATCTGAAAAACGATTTGCAGGAAATACGGACTTTCTATTTTACGGTCTTTCGGAAGCTGATAAGTATCGAGCAAAGCAAAAAATTGCAGTTTGTTGTGCCCAAACTAGACAGGGCAATCATAATGAACCAGGTGACGAGGACAACTTAGGAGCACGAGATCCGCACGTATACATGAATAGTATTAGAGGGTCAGGGGCTTTCTGGAAAAAATATACAGGAGATTTAATTGCAATGGTTAAATCACTTGGAGTTCCAACATTCTTCTTCACTTTTAGTTACGACGACATGAATTCATCTGACTGCATTAATGCACTTTGGAAAGCGAAGTATGGTCCCGACGCTCCTGATGTGGTGCCAGAGGATATTCCGTATGACGAAAGAAAAACTCTTCTGAACGACTTTCCAATAATTGCGGCTCGACATTTCTCAATGCGGCTGTCCAAATTTCTCGCACTAATTAAAGCCAATGGACAAAGCATATTCGGATTGCCGTTGGTGGATTATTCCATTCGCGTTGAATTTCAATCACGTGGCAGTCCACATGCACATTGTTTGTTTTGGATGGAAAATGCTCCAAGTTGGGAAACCCCAGAGGGAATTGCACTGCTTGAGAGGAACGTGGCTTGCACGACAAATTCCACCAATCCAGATTTAGTCTTACGCTATCAGAAACATGCTCACTCTAAAACATGTTTTAAAAATGGTAACTCAACTTGTCGTTTTGCATTTCCCAAATCTCCGAGTGATGAAACCAAAATTTTGAATGAGGATGACATTGTTCGCAATAAAGGTCGCTTCTTTGTACTGAAACGAGCGGTGGGAGAAGAGATGATTGGGTTTTATCATCCGATTTTGCTACCACTACTGCAATGTAATATGGATATCCAACCAGTTACTGGAGCAGTCGCAATTGCTTACTAAGTACATGGGGAAGGGAGAACCACTTGAAATAAGGCAGAATATTCGTGACACTATAAGTAGGGTGCAAAATTCAAGTCTTCCCGCCCGGCAAAAGATGTTTAAAATCGCAATGACATTGATGCGAAATCGGGAAATTAGTGCACAGGAAGCTGCATTTCGGATGTGCCATTTATTCCTTCGTTATTCCTCCAGAGCTTCTGTATTTTTGCCAACTTTCAGAAAGGAAAATCGTGTACGAATGGTCAGGAAAGAGGCGATAGGACAGGATTCTCCGCAATTCTGTACTAATATAATCGACCGGTACATGGCTCGTCCAACCCACCCATTCTTTGAAAATATGTGTCTATTTGAATTTGCATCTTGGTATGCACCTGAACGCAAAACCAATGCAATTTGTATAGAGGATGATGATTTGATTGAATTTCCGGACCAGCCATCCGATGAACTTCGTGGTACTAGACTGGCTCATAAATGCAGAAATGCGGATGGGATTGAAATTGGGAAAGTATTTCGAAGAAGAGTTCCTGCTGTTGTTAAGCATCCTAATTTTCATCCAATAACGGACAAGGAGTCTTACTTTTATTCTCTTTTACTCCTTTATATGCCATTCAGAAATGAGACATTTTGCGATGAAATATCTCCGTCTGATTTGTTTCAAGCACAGAGACAAAATTTGCGAAATCATACTCACGATCCCGTCATCAGAATGGAATTGGCAGAAGAGATTGATCGAGCAATGCTTCGTATTATTGAATTCGATGAACTTGAATATGATGAAGTAAATATAGAGCAACCATTTGAAGCTCCGTTTGAGGATCCTAATCCTGATAACTTGCCAACCGAAAGTGAAGCCTTTCCTCAAATTCCGCCCGATCGTAATATCACTGAAAGGATTGCAGAGTTATATAGGGGATTGAACTCGCAGCAGAAGGAATTATTTAACAAAGTTCGTACTAATCTTTTAAATTCGTCAACCAATTTTCGGCAATTAGTTTTAGCAGACGCTGGTACAGGAAAATCGCATTGCTTGAAATTGCTCTCGCTTTTGATAAAAAACACGCTTTCAGAAAATGCACTACTCATTGCTGCACCGACCGGCAAATCAGCATTCCCCATAGGGGGCAGCACATGCCATAGAATATTTGGTCTCCAAATTCAGCACGGTTTCATCAAAACATATGAAAAACTTAACGCTCGAAAACTTGCTGAATTTATGAGGTTATATCACAACGTTCAGTGGATATTTATTGATGAAATATCAATGGTATCTTACGAAAATTTTCGCGCCATTCATTTGAGGTTATGCGAAATATTTGGCACTGATGGAAGCGAGCCATTTGCCGGAAAGAATCTTGTGGGGTGATTTAATGCAGCTTCCACCGCCCCTTGCGTCAAGGATTTTTAAACGTAATAAGCGTTATTCCGCAGAAATTGACCTTTGGCGGGAATTCCAATTTTCCGAATTAACAATTAACATGAGGCAAGGTGGCGATCCTCTTGGAGAAATATGTTCTGAATTGCGTGTTGGAAAACTATCTGCTCAGAGTCTTCAATTATTGCAAACTCGACTAATGTATGATGAGAAGGGATTAAATGGAAATGTGGATAGCTTTGCTGACGCCGTAAGAATTTATCCAGAAAATGAAATGTGCAATAATTTCAATATGCAGAGAACTGCAGAATTACGAAGAGAATTACGATCTAAGGGTAAAACTACTTTTAAAATTAAAGCATTTGACACATATGCAGATGGAGTGAAGCAAGGCCAACATTATTTGGGGGATTTACCAAAAAAAGATGACCAAACAGGGGGTATTCCGAATTCAATAGAGTTGGGAGAAGGAAGCCGAGTAATGCTTAGACGGAATATGGATACTTTGAAAGGTCATGTAAATGGAGCTACAGGATTTATCAAAAAAATTGAATGGACAATCGATAAGAATCGACAAATAAATGTTGGGGATTTGCCAAAACGTGTCCTCGTAAAATTTGACCACGAAATTACAGATACTTGGATAGAGCCTGCAACTGTTGATTTTTATGCCCACAGGCAACAACGAGTTACGCGTCGAATGTTGCCGTTAATATTAAGCTATGCACTTACTGTGCATAAGCTGCAAGGGGCCACGCTTGATAAGGCTGTAGTTTATCTAGGTCCAAAATGTAAAACCAAAGGTTTGGCATATGTTGCGATTTCTCGTGTGAAAACTCTTAGTGGCCTTGCAATTATTGAAATGGATGTTAGAAAATTGTTAACCTCTGCATCTTACAATCCTGCCGATACTGACGCATTACAGGAGCTCGAACGATTACGTGCTACTTTGACCAACAATTTATATCATCAACAAAACCAGCTTTCTCCAACATGCACCTGTCGGCTAGGGGAGCATGAAAGCATTCACACAATGATCAGAGCAACGACAGAGTTAAATATAAATTTGGATGCAAATGTAAAAGGCCGTAACATTTATCCTGTACTAAACATGTTACACTTAAATTACGATTAATGGAATACATAGCCACGAAAGTATAAAATGGTGTATATGAATAGACCACCCTACTGTACCCTCTTGGCTGCGTGGATCCATTGAACCAAGATAAAAATATTACATTAATTTTTACACTAATTTCGTTGTACTCAATATTCTTCAAGTAATCAACTAATTGGTAAAACGAATGACACATATTAAGTCGTCTATATATATATCACTTAAAATCCATGAAATAAAATACTTTAAAAAAAAGCTTGCTTAGTTGAGGCGCTGCTAAAAGTAAAAAACAAGTCACCCGCATTACCGTTAATATATTAAATACATACGTAGGTGTTTTATTATTAATTTTCAAAAGGTATGTTCCGCACTGTTTCTGACCAAAATTGTGATGAAATAACAAACTTCAAATACATTTAGGAGGCTGTGATTTTTTTCAGTTCTTAAGGTTAACGTCAACACTAGCAATAAATCGGCAAACTTTACCTCGACGGAAAAAATGCTAGATTTGCAAATTAAATATCGTAGTGTGATTTAATTTTTAATGCTGGATAGGCAATACGTGTCGCAGATTTATGGTTGAATGCTTAAAATGTACAATGAAAACTGCCCAACACGAAACACAAATTCAATTGGGTCAATAATTTTTAATTATGGCGAAACGAGGTCTCGGGCAAAAAGTCGCAAGGACGCTCAAAATCCGCTTCTTCCACAGAAAGGCTCCGGAAGCTAGAGGAACCAATAATGAGAGATCCGCGATTGAAACTGTCCTATATAGCAGATGAGATGGGTGTTCCAAAACCAGCAATTTGTTCCGTGTTAACTGAAGACTTAGGTATGAAAATGGTTTCCGTCCGTTGGGTACCAAAATTGCTTTCGGCATCTCACAAACAGGATCGAGTCGACTTTTGCAATGCAAATTTTAACCTATTAAATGAAAACTGGAACCTGCTCAATATTTTATTGGCTGCATATGGTACTTGGGTTTACTATTATGACCCGGTGACCAAATAATAATTCCCTCATTGGAAGCACGAGGGGTTGCCACCGTCCGTGTATTGAAAAGTGCAAAAATCTGACAAAAAAATTGATGATGACCATTTTCAAGGATACCAAAGGTCCCCTCCTTATAAAATTTATTGCTGGAAATACTGCAATAAATGGGGCCGTGTATGCAGGAACCCCGAAGGAGCTGCGTCCTCCGGTTGAAAAGAAACGTGGGGTCAAAATAAAGAGTTGGCCTTTTTTTAGACGACAACGCGCCACCTAATACCTGGCTTTTTGCGAGGGTTAGTGCAGACGAAAATCGCTTTACCTGCACAAACCACGCCCCGTGCAGTCCAGACTTGTCCCTTAGTGATTATTATTCGTTTCGAAACTTAAAGAAAAACATCAGGGGAAAACGGTTTTCGGATGATAATGAAATCAAGTCGTAAATTTTGGCATATTTTCGAGGTAAATTTTAATGAGTTATTGCTAGTGTTAATGTTAACCTACAGAACTGAAAAAAATCACAGCATCCTAAAAGTATTTGAAGTTTGTTATTTCATCAAAAGTTTGGTCAGAAACAGTGCGGAACATACCTTTTGAAAATTAATAATAAAACACCAACGTACATACATATATCATAATGTCGCAGGAGTTGGTGGCTTTGCATCACCGCAAGGCCAAAAATTTTGCATTACTGTTTTCACAAAGTCTTTATTTACGATTAACATTTCCTGGAAAAGAATTTGCATTAACAAACATCTCCATATTTCTTTCCACATTATATTCTTACTCTCTGTTCGCAACAATTGGGCAATATCTAAAATGCTGAGTTCTTTGAGTTTTGTATTTAATATCCTCTGCATTGAGCAGTTTGGATTTTCATATATTGCAATGCCAGTTATCAAAAGTGGTGACAAATTACATCCCGCATTATGGGAAATTGCATCTTCTCACCATCCTTTATTAAAATTTTCTGCTAATATAACCACTCCCTTGCGAGCTTACGTGGCAACCGTCCCACCACCGGCCACAAAGATAGTCGTAATTCCATCAACTGAAATATCTTCAAAGAAGCAAGATTTACAAGTAGAGGAATTGCTTGCAAATATATCAATTTCGTCAACCGTGCCATTCCTGGGCAATGTTTCCGAAGAATTAATTGCAAATGCCACGGAAGAAGCAAAAGCTATTTTGAAGACAGTAAAGGACGTCACAATGCCCAACATAATTCATGGGGAAGATGTTGTAAAAATACAGCAAACGTGGTGGGAGTGGTTAAAGGAGAATTTTGAAAAGATTGTGTAAGTAGTGTGTCTCTTACGAATATTCAAATTTGAGTACTGAATAACTGAAATAGATACATACATTGCAGGATTGGAGGATTATTAATCATCTTTGTAATCAGCATTGTATGTTGCTGCAAATGTCATGCAATTTATAGGTAAAATATGTCTGAAAATAACTTGATAGCAATCTTTTAATAATAATTTTGTATTTAGAAATCGTATGGGATTATGAATGGACCTTAATTTTTACATTACGCAATGCCAATATTTAATAAATCAAATATTCAGTAATTTCGAGTTTTACCATTTTATCAATATCTTTTGCATTTTTCTTACGCATCTTTGCATCTTTCTCACATCTCAATATCACCTGCGTGGCCATGATACTGAATTAAATTTATTGAACCAAAACCAAACTTCTGGCATGACAACATAATTCCAAACATGGGAAAAAATTATTTCAATTTTGAAAAACAAACAAAAACAGTTTGAATTTTTATTGCATCTCTCTTTGCTTCGAACTTTGCTGAAAAATACTACAAACTTGAAGCATAGCTAAAATGTGCACCTGGCGAGCCTCTACATTAATACTGGCGTTAACTACGGTGGTATGTACAATATCTATTTTCTTAAATGAGCATTATATGTATAGCAAATATTTGTCATATTTATTTTCTCAGGGATATCACTCCTACCAGTTGGCATACGTCGTACTGATGACGGTTGCGTTGTTCAGTTATGGGATTGCTGGAGAAAATCGAGTTTTATCACTGGACCATGCTCTTGTGATAAGCGGGGCAATCACAGTAATGGGATTATTGGCTGGATTTGTGCTGGGTCTGTCGACACTCTACGTAAGTATTCGACTTCATTTATAATAATACCGAGAAATCAATTACGTCAAGCTTTAACTTTTCAATGTATTTAAATTTAAAGGGTATAAGTTCGACGACGCGAAAGACTTTCTTTCTGATTTGGAATCTGAACGGGCTAATTGGTGTAGTTCTGGTTGTTGTCCACGTCGCTTTCTTTCAACAGTCTCTGACGTCCATTGTTATATCTAGCTTGGAAATGCTAATAATTATTATCGGTAGTATTGTAGTGTATAAGTTTAAGTACTCTTATCAAATTTATACCCCATTCGAAAGTGTAATTGTTTAAATATGCAGTGCTTTGTTCGTAAAAATTATGATGAACTGTTCTTCTCGACATTTATTTTCTTGTGTATGCAATAAATGGTTAATTTGAGTATAAAACGATCAAAATTTTTGGCCTTGCGGTGATGCAAAGCCACCAACTCCTGCGACATTATGATATATGTATGTATGTATTTAATATATTAACGGTAATGCGGGTGACTTGTTTTTTACTTTTAGCAGCGCCTCAGCTAAGCAAGCTTTTTTTTAAAGTATTTTATTAAATGTAGTTTTATAACATTCTTAATTACAATGTAGATCCAATGTTTTGCGTGGGATGATTTACAAGGTTGAAGCAATTCACGCAAGGCTGGTAACTTTGTAAAATCCATAAAACCCGTAAACTTACAAACTTTTCCAAAGATTTTCTGAACATTTGTAAGGAAAATTAGCTTATAAATTTTTTGCAAACTTTCTCAGATCAAGGGCGCCTTCTTATTTTGCAAAAGTTTTTAAAATTATTTTGTAAAACTGACGTATTTTACAAAGTTACTAAGGACTGCGTGAATTGCGTTATTATGTCACTAGATTAACATATATATATAATTTTGGCAAGCAATTTTGGCAAACATTGTTTTATGCAATGTTTCTATTCATGGAAATTACTATTGAATAGTCTCATTATTTTCTGTATAAATTGCAAATTTTTGTCAACTTGCCCCAGCCAAAGTTACAGATTTTACAAAGTTAGCAAGGACTACGTGAATTGCCTCATTATGCAAATATTTCCATCTCATTATTAAATCCGAAGAAATGTATTTACTGTGAATTCTTAACGATGACTCTGCGATCTGACAAAGCTAAAAGAAATATAAAAAAAACTTTAAAAACAACTTACTGTCTTCTAAACTATTCAAATATTTTTCGAATACATTACAAATATTTGAATGAATGAATGAACGCTTTATTATACTGGCTTATTAGTACAAGAAATACAAAATTTTATGCTTAACACTAGAGAAGGAGGCTCTAAATTAAACATTTTAACAAATTAAAGTAACTTACTTGCCTAGTTTCGTCAGTTTACATCCTCTCTAAGCCAATACTTCTACCAACAAATTAATAATTTAGCAAGATGAACAAACAAACATAACCATCTCGCAGCTCTAAGGAACGCGACAAAGTTGGTTGCATACCAAGTCTGGTTAAGTTGTAAATTTAGATACAATACTTGTAATTATTACAATTCCAAATCATTAGCCAATTATAATTTATGTCAACTTAAGCTTACTTACTTAAAACTATTTTTGTTGGAAAAATTGCACCAAAAAACCAACCTAATTTTGAAATACAAACCAATTTTGATTCCCCAACCAACCGAGTGGACAGGCAAAAGCCACGTGGTAATTCTAATTTTCTAAAATAAAGATTTAAAATGCAATTTTTTGGCTGAAATAGTTGTTCAGCTTGACGATGAGGGATTTTCACACATTTCCAATTATAATCGAAGATATTACCAATTAAATTTATTAAAATTAGAATAAAAATTAAATAAATTTAGAGGAGCTCGTGCACGAGCAAATCCTCCTCGGTTGGCGCGCTGACGGGGAATATTTAGTGACAGCATTAATTAATTACTTTTATTTTGCCATATTTTTTATATTGTCAAAATCAAGGGACGCAAATAAAATTCGCAATTTTGTAAATGTGCATGCAAATTTGGTACAAATTTCATCAGACAATTCATCATTCGGTGTTTTTTAAGACCGGATCATTCCAGCGTAAATCCCCCACAGAAAAATAAAATTACGCGAAAAACACGTGACATCAAGTTACAAAGTACAAGAACATGATTTTACTTTTATGCAATTAAATACGCATGTCAAAAATAAACAGCTTATCGGACGAGTTTATCTTATCCAAAATATGGCGAGAGGCACGGCATACACTGAGATTTGGAAACTCCAATCTCGTCAACTAATGACTAACGGAATCAGTCCACTTGAAAAAAATTACATGTTAATTACAACGATATCAATTAATTTAATTGAACACGCTCAATTACCAGTAAATATTTATATAAATATGAATTGGATTTCGGACAAAATTGTCACTCGCAAATTTATCCTTGAGTTTACAGCATATCATCTGCTTCAGGTAGGTCAACTTCAAAGTAAATACTCGTTTTTTAATTATTACTCTTAGTATTTTTCTGAAATTGTGTAAGATTACAAAGTTTACAAAAAGTTTACATATACGTATGTGAAAGATAGAATTTACTCTATTTTTACATCAAGATTAACACCCTTTAATGCAATTTATGTAGTAAAGATTACATACAATCTCAGTTTACCTCATCAATTTTAGTTTACGTAATTTATAAATTTTTTAACTATAAAGGGGTCAATTATAAAATTCCCTAACTTATTTTCCTGAATTTATGGATTGCAAACTGAACGTAACCTACAAAATTACAAAAATATCAACTAATACTTACTTATCCTTTGCAAACAAACACTATGATACAATTTCCTAACTTCTGTTCTCGAATTTATTCCAAACCGAAAGCTATGAACCGAAAAATTACACAAGTATTTGCTACTTTTACATACTTTGCAAACTCGACGTGCAAAAAAAATCTTCATCTATTCAACAATCTTCTAATTTTTCTTACCTTTAAGCCTTTAAAAATATACACAGTTTTACAAAATTTTCCAGCCACCACCACCACCATGTCGACTAAACTCTTCGCCGTAATCGTCACCCTCGCCCTCGCCACGGGCGTCATCTCCGCTCCAGACTACGGCGAAACTTGCAGCAGTCTTATCCAATGTCAGCGATATTCCGAACATCACGACCAAAGCGTTATTTGCATGCTTCGCCCCAACGCTTCCGACCCGACCGGATATTGCTCCACGTTTGCCGTCGCGACGGGAAAATGCGCCTGCGCGCGAAACTGTGGCGCATTCCATGATCACCACGAAGACGGCGAATTTTTACGGGATGAAGGTCGCTGCGTCGGATTTGTGGGGTCATTCTGCTACAACGGCTATCCTGAAAACGATTGTGTCCCAAATGCGTATTGTCCCGGAACTTCGAGGCGTTGCGTTTGCACGTTGGGATTCGAAACCGGACCGGATGGCAGGCATTGTGTGGCTATTAAAAAATAAATGACATGTTTTTTTTTCGAGCGAATTTTGAAATAATAAATCAGACTAATTTCGAAAATAAGGTAACTTTTGTTCATGATTTGATCATTGAATTTCATTGATTTAAAATAAATAAATTTTTTGCGACAAGTACTTAATTGCATTAGTAATTCGTGACCTTCGTTATTAAAAGTTGACTATTATGTCCTGGTGTTTTACTTTAAATTACGATTTTTTTCAAAAGATGCAAAATGTTATCAAAATTTTCTTAAATTTTGGAATATCTTTGAATATGCGTTTATGTACATGGAGAAAATATTAATAACATTTTGTACTGATTTGTGTACCTAATTGCGTCGGATTTGTGGGGTTATTTCTGCTACAACGGATATCCTGAGAACGATTGTGTCCAAAATGCGTATTGTCCAGGAACTTCGAGACGTTGGTTTTGCACGTTGGGATTCGAAACTGGACCGGATCGCAGGCATTGTGTAGCTATTAAAAAATAAATGGCATTTCGAAATTTTTTTTAGACCTTGTAAAAATGAGTAACGTAATAAATATTTCGGAATTTCTAAACAAGTTTTTAGTATGCAAATTCTTTCACATGTAATTTTTTGAAATACTTACGAAGTACATATTTTGTGCTTTTCCAAGCAATTTTCGTAATCGTTTTCACCCATGTAAAATCTGAATTATTGCTTAACTTGATCTAAATTAGTTAGTTGCAATTAGGGCGTCAAGCTTTACCGTTTTTACCGTGAATACCGACGATACAAGTAAATCGACTTTAATACCGTAGAACATTGTATAGATTATTTATGTAAATTTGTCCACGAATTTAGAAAAATTGTAAACCAAAAATAAGTCATCAAATCATCTATTGTTAGTCTTTACAGAGATGGATGACGTTTCTTTATTTTGAGTAAAATCCTTAGGTATACAAAATTTACATCGTTTACTAATTTTGCCCAATTTTGAGAAAATTTATGCAAATCCGTAGTTCTGAAAACTTACAAAATTTTTATAGGTTCGGAAGTTAATTTTTTTGAAACTTTAAACCTGTGATGGTATGCATTTTTTTATTCTTCCAGTTTTTCAAAACTTACAATATTAATGAAATAAACTTCCATAAAACAACTTCGTCTAACACATGAGAGATGTTTTCAACTTTTAGAATATACTTTTAAGGGAAAACAAGTTAAATCATTTAAATAAAACGCATGAAAACCCAAATAAAACCCATTTAACATGGTAAAACCCATTTGGTTTTATTCATTTAAAACCAATTAAAAACCCAACCTAATAAAACCATGGGTCGGAACATCCTGCTCTAAAAGGAACAATTTAATTACTGCACTCTTTGACTTCTTGACGTGGGACTCCGAATTAATCTGGCAAAACTGGATTAAAGTCAAGAAAGATTACAAAAACTTACTGTCTTCTAAAGTATTCAATTTACTTTGAGTATTTTACTCTTCAACATTATGAAGTGTTGATTAAACTGGTATAAACTGGTATAAATTATTCCTAATTACCTATTGTTAAAATCAAGGGTTATCCTTGACGTAACGTACCTATCTGCATAAATTTATCTTGCGAATTTGCAAATGTGCATGAAAATTTGTGTACCAATTTCATGAAGTTGTTTGGATAGTTAGTTAATTTTACAAAGTTGCCAAGGATTGAGTGAATTGTCTCGTTGTAAATTTGCAAGTTTCCATATGCACGTATCTAGAAAGGTAGATTTACGAAATTTTCCAAGTTACAAAAATGTAACCGGTTTTTCAAATTTACACAAATACCGTAATTCATTATTAACCAAAGGTTTGTTGTCAGGTTTCAAATCGATTAAAGACAAAATTTTTTTTAGCTTAACGCCACAATTTGTATTTATGTAATTACGAAGTTTAAAATGTCGAATTAGGTGCAGGTCAAGTTTGAAATTAATTTATGAAATTCAAAAAATTCGAAACCCACAAAGTTTACACGATTGGGGGTGCGCCGATGGGACGATGTCCTCAATGGATAAATGTATGTATGTAGCATTTTCGTTATCACAGACGTCAGAACGAGAGAAATTACAAAAAAATTGTGAAATAACACTCTGACAAACAAAAGATGAGATTACATGGAGTCAAAAATAGAAACTTGTCGAAAAACAGGTGCCATCATGTTACAAAGTTTACAAAGCTTTACTCTTACGTGTGTTAAACGACGTAAACTTATCGGACGGGTTTATCTTATCCAAAAAATGTGGCGAGATTCACGGCAGACACGAGATTTGGAAAAGTTCACTTTTGTCAACGAATGGAATCAGCCCACTTGAAATAATTACACGCTAATTAAAACGATATCAATTAATTTGCATAATTATACATTCGCAGTAAATATATAAATACGGCTTGAATTTCGGATACAATTATCATTCGCAAATTTATCCTTGAATTCGCAGCATTCTTCTTCTTCAGGTAGTTCAGGTTCATAATATTTGATTTTTTTTTTCAAAAATATGTACTTACCGAAAATATTTTCGGAAATGTAAAATTACAAAGTTTAAAAAAATTGTATATGTAAAAGCTATAGGATTTACACTATTTTACAGCAAGAATCACAATTTTTACGTAATTTTAAAAATATTACGATCTCAATTTATACTACTACATCAATTTCGTTTTTATGTAATATGTATTTTTTTTAATTTTTAACGATTCAATTATAAAATTTCCCGAATTTATTGCAACCTAAGTCCTTCACAAACTACAAAATTTCAAAATTAGGCAAATATCTACACACTAATTAACAAAGTATGTACATCTACATGCACATCATTTAGAAACACACTTTTAGAATTTGCAACCCGAAAACTTTGTTGACTGCAAAAATTCTACTAGCATTTGCTACTTTGCAAACTCAAAGTGCAAAAAAGTCCACTTTTCGATTAATGAATCTCCTAATTTTCCTTAGGTTAAAGTCTCAAAATTTACACAATTTTCTCCATTTTTTTTACCCATCACAGTATTGCTACTTCTACACACATTGCAAACTTGACGTGCAAAAAAAATCTTCTCCGATTTAACAATCTTACAATTTTTTTAAAATTTCAAGTCTCGAAATTATTTACAAATTCTTTCAAAAACTTCCAGCTACCACCACCAACCACCATGTCGATCAAACTCATCGCCTTAATCGCCACCCTTACCCTCACCCTCGCCCCCTGCGTCATCTCCGCTCCACAATACGGCGAACTTTGCAACAGTCTTCTCCAATGTAACAGATACACCGAAAATTTCGACCAGGGCGTCATTTGCATGTATCGCGCAAACGATACCGAACCGACCGGATATTGCAACATGTTCGCGGTGCCGGTGGGAAGATGTCATTGCGCGCGGAACTGTGGTGCATTCAACGATTATCACGATGACGGCGAATTTGTACCGGAGTTAGGTCGCTGCGTCGGATACGTGGGGTCATTCTGCTTCAACGGCTGGGGCGTGAATGATTGTGTGGAAAACGCTTACTGTCCAGGCATTAGTAGGCATTGTGTTTGCAACTTGGGATTCGAAACTGGACCGGATGGCAAACATTGTGTGGCTATTAAAGTAGAACAAGATACATTATTTTTTTTATTTCTGAACAATAAATCAATTTGATTTCGAAAAAAAAATATTAAAAAGTTGCTTTTATTCATGATTCTACAGAGTTACGAACATTATCTAAATTGTAAAATTTCATTAATTTCAAATAAATAAATTTTTCCTACACATAATTTCATTACTTATTCATGGACTTCTTTATTGTAAGTTGAGTATAATGTAACATCCTAGTATTTTCTTTGAGACTACGATTTGTTTTCAAAATTTTCAAAATTTTCAAAAAACTTGGAAAAATTGTCTTGAAGTTTGAAAAATTTTGCATATGCATTTATGTACATGTGAAAGACATTGAAAACATTTCTAAGTGATTTACTTATCTGATACATACATTCATATTTCGGAAAAAAATTGGTAAAATGACACAGCCACAAATAAATTATTATTATAAAGACAAAACTATGTAGGATAGCGTAGATGTACAAGTGGTCATCACAAAATACTTAACACATTTGACAAATATTTGCTAATCATTTAATAATTAAACTTGACAGAATCGCAAATTTTATAAATCTTTATAAGTTCATAATTAACTTATAAAATTCGCACGTTTTGTAAAATAATTTTAAACTTTTATGCACAAAATATGTAAATAGACGCCCTTGATCTGAGTAGGCTTACAAAAATTTGTAATTTTCCTCAGAAAAGTTTCTAAAATTTTGTAACTTTGTAGATTCTGCAAAGTTACCAAGGACTGTGTGAATTAGATAATTCAATACGTTTAACTTATCAATTTTACGAATTTTCGAAATCGCCACAACCACCATGTGTATTTTCATTTCCCATTTACATACATACTCTCCATTCGCACACAGTAGAACTTTTACAGAAATTGAGATTTCTCATAAACTACAGCACAGTCTGTCTCAATTTCCCTCAAATTATGCTAACGAGGTACTTTGAGACTGGCAGTGCTGTAGTTTCTGAGAAATCTCAATTTCTCTAAAAGTTCTACTGCGTACGAATGCAGAGTACACACGGAATTTACTTCGCTAATTCGAATAATGCAATCAAAATAAAATTATTACATCAATAAAATTATTACATCAAAAATTTCAAATTTCGCTGAACGTATCTCATGCAAAGTTTAACTATTTGATTAAAATTTCCGTTCCGGAAACGACGCACAAATCTGACAAAATCAAATCTTGGAACAAAAATATTTGAATTTGTCACATTAAAATAAAATGACACTCGCGTTATCACAAAATATACCGGTTTGCTGTCGATGACGAAATTTAATTACAAATATGAAAATTCTAAAAATTTTGAAATTTGATTTGAAATCTTACATACATTACTAAAGTTACTAAATATTGTTACGAGGGATTTCCTTAAAACAAACCTGAAAACATTTAATTTAGAATGGGAAAAATAAATAAAACCTCAAAATGGCGGTACGCTATGCCTACTGTTTCTGCAGTTTTTACATGTGATGACTCAATTCACGTTGTTTTTAGTAACTTTGTCTCATTCCAAAGTTTTGTAACAGAATTTTACAAGTTTGTACAAAATAGAGAAACTAACTATTTGGAAATTTTCACCTAAACAAATGAATACCAAAATTTTAGAAATATATAAATAAATTAGTAAAATCATGACGCAATTCACGTAGTTGGTCGTAACTTTGAAAAACAAATCCGTGCGTTTTGTAAAATAATTTTATAAATTTTTACAAAATGTGGGGACGCTTTTGATCTAAGGTTATAAAGTTTACAAAAATGTGCAAGCTAGATAATTTCCCTTTGAAATGCTTCTAAATTATGTAAAAGTTTACGGATTTTACAAAGTTACTGTGTGAATGTGCTTAACATATCAAGTTTCACGAAATTTCGAACTAGCCACCAGTCAAATTTTAGACACATTTGGATACATACACTGTTAGAAATCTGGTATAGTCAGGCAAGCATTGAGTTCTCGGTATTAAAGTTACCACCGCTTGGTATTAAAATTATACCGGTCTGTAAAAAATTGCTACCGTTATGGTGACATTTCTAAGAGTGTACATCCCACGAAATTTACTTCGTCCACAATTTGCTAAATGAGTTGTGCGAAATACTTCAGACGTTGACGTAAGTACGATAAATTCATTAATTAGCAATGAACACAGTTCACTCGTTGTTTACAATGTATAGGTTAATCTATTAATTTTGCATGTAATTTTCTGCACCTAATTTAACTTGGATATTGACTTTTGTACTGCTTCTCGCAATCTAATCTTCTCCACTTACTCGTCCCAATCAACTAAAGTATAAATAATGCCAGTGTTCGCCTAAATCGAAATTGACACAATTTCACGAGATTCCTTTAACCCCAGATTTTTAGAGTTTCAAAATTACACTAAACTCTTATCAATTGTGCCTAATATTAAAAGAAAATAATTTTGTATTTTACAAAGATTACGAAAGAAAACGCTGTTGTAAACTTATTAAGGGTACATTTTTATTTTGTACAAGCTAATAATTAATATTGACTTTTACTCATTAATTTCAACCATTAAATTGTTCATGCATAGAAAAAAGCGCACCCACTCTTAGAAATCCAGTATTAAAATTGTACCAAGTTACGGCGTCAATTGTTTCATTATGCTATCAATTCATAAGTTACAAAGTTCAGTTTACTTGAATTACATTATAATTTTCAGGGTCGTATTTAATTAACTGTTCATAATTTAATACTTTTTTCTCGAATACTTCCTCTCATGATAATGAAATTCAAGTTGACCATAACAGAAAAAAAACATCTTTCAAAAGAGAAACGTAAGCTTGATTGTCCAGTAAAATTACTTTTGCCAAGGCACTTGGCTAAGAATCTCTAAAATTTGTAAAAAATTTTATTATTATTTTATAGTGATATTAATGTGTATTATAACTTTTGGCAAAATCAAGTCCTGATGGACAACGAAATACAGATATCTATGCTATGCATATCTACATCTACACATCTTTGCCACTACGGATGTATGGTTTTCAGACAACCTTAATTTAAATTGGACTGGAAATTTCCTACACAAATAGTTAATGGCGTTGTACATACTCCTTCTAAATATAAAATGACACAATTTGCGCCGTCCTTTATAACTTGACAAGTCGGTCACTCTTGTAAAATCATTTTACCAACTTTTACAAAATAAAGTGACGCCCTTGATCTGAATAAGTTTACAAAAATTTGCGAGCTAATTTGCCTTATAAATATTTGTATGTGAATGTTTGTTAGTTTACAGAATTTACGGATTTTACAATGTTACCAAGGCCTGCGTAAATTGCGTCAATTTTTCATGTGAACCCTACCCGCGTTTTGCATCACGATTAATTTTCTGTACAAATTAGAATCAATCTTATTCAGTGTAAAGCTGAGGATTTGGTGTTATCATGAATTAATTTGATTATATTTTAACCCATGCATTGGACTGGCTGAAATCAAATTTTGTGTTTTGTCAGTCATAAATTTCATTTACTTAAGGTCGATTCGACCTCCGAATTGACAAAATGTTTGATTTTTACGCAATCACGGTTTTGGTAGGGCTGGTAATTTACTATTTTTTTCTGCGGGATAACACCGATCGGTCGGATGAACCGCCAGGTAATACATTTAGCGGCGTTTAGAAGATTAGCAAATTTTATAATAATTTCGTAACAGTAATTTTGTAATAATTCCGACCTTTTTTTCAGGTCCACTGGTCTGGCCGATTATCGGTAATATCTTCCACTTGGCCCGAGCTGAGGGAAATATTACGCAAAAATTGGGAAACCTTGCGAAAAAATATGGCGAAATTTACTCCTTAAAAGTGGGAATGAAACGTGTAGGTATGGCTGAAGGTTTCAAAACTTCAAACTTATAAATAGTCAGTAAATTTATACGACTCAACTCATGATACAATTCTTGCAGTCTTTGGTAATTTCGCAAAATCCACAAGTTATGTTAACTTAAAAGCTTTTACAAAATTTTACAAATATTTCGAAGAGTGGACACATTTTTGTAAATACTTTGTACTAATAGCTCGGTATGAAAATTTTACCAAATCGGTAGCAAATTTTTATTTTCTGATTTGACATTTGAATTCCAAGCGGTAACAACTCTAACACCAAATAAACACCTGGAATACCTGTCTGAATATTGAATATATCAGATTTCTAACCATCTGTTTCGCTTGCAAATGTCACGATGTAATTTTGCAAATATGTTTTTCGCATGGATAATCCATATAAAATGATGGAATTTAGTAAGAAAGCAGGCAAATTTAAGAGTTTACTACAGTTTGGTCATTTGAATTAGAGACTTTTTTGGTAAATTTTCAAATTTTCTGGTAACTAAAAAAAATATTTAAAAAATCTAAAAAGAGCTGTTCACAAATTGTATGCCAATTAAAAAATACAATTGTTATCAAATAACTCATTGGATAAGTCTACGAACGGCTCTTCGCGATTTTTAATTTTAATTAGTTGCTATCCTGGGAAAAATTGCAAAATGCAAAAAGAGTCTCTAATTCAAATGACCAAACTGTAGATACCTTTTCAAAATTTATAAAAAATTTGAGGCCAAAGAAAATTAAAATGTGAAAAATATGTCAGACTTCACTGCCGAAAGTGTAATATGTGAAAAAAAACTATGAAGCATAAATCAAAATAGATTTTGTTGAGTCGTTTCATTCAACAAATTTCAATTAGTAACCTTCGCAACTGCGTAAGCTTTGTAAGTTTACAAACTTTTACCAAGTTATACACACATTCCTGAGGGAAATTGGCTTACGAACTTGTAAGAAATTTATGCACTTCGAAAATATGTTTTTTTTTGTTCATAAACATAAGTTCGAAAATGATTTTAGTGTTTGATACATATTTGCATTTTCAGTTGAAATCAGTTATTTTACAAATTTGCACTATTTATAAATATGTAAAGCAATACAAGAGCTTGATTTAATTAATTTAACGTTCCAGTCCGTAATAAATAGCTATCAACAAACAGAGATTTAAAAAATGCTTAAGTTCAACTCCAAAATTACAAAATATTAAATCTATCTGCTCCACAAACACTTATGGTCTGAAACTCGAGCTGTTTTGTACCAAAGCAGCTCTGGTTTCAGACCCGAAAAAACCCTTGGATCGTTCGATCGGAATAGTGAATTACATAAACGTTATCTAAATTATTTATTAGACTGGAGTAATAAATACATTTTTTAAATATTGGAATCCTACTTGAGCATTACATAAAATGTTTATTCATACTATATTTATTAGTAAAGTATTTATTCATTCAATAATGAATAGGACGTATTTACTCATGCAAAATTCATATGATTTTGAATAATTCACACCTATTCATCACTCAAACTCACTTTAATGAATGAATGTGAACAGGTAATATATATAGACAACAATTAGTAAAGTAAATCGCAATCACTCAGACAATTCACGCAGTCATTGGTAACTTGTAAAATTGGTAATCTTGGTAAAATTATTTTACTAATTTTACAAACTAATTTTAAAACTAATTTTACAAAAATAAAAAGTTGCCCTTGATCTGAGTAAGTTTAAAGAAATTTGTAAGCTAATCTTCCTTGAAAATATTGGTAAAATTTTGTAAAAGTTTGTAAGTTTACAGGATTTACGGATTTTAAAATGCTACTCTCTCCGTGATTGCCTCATGATGAAGTTTACAAGGCTTTGTAAGCTAATTTTCTTTCGAAATATTCGTAAAATTTTATACGTTTGTAGGATTTACGGATTTTACTAGGTTACAAAAGCTTGTGTGAATTGTCTAGTTGCAATTTTACGAATTTACGCTATTCACACATAAAGCTATATACAGATGAATTGTAAACGTGTATGTACATACTTGTATGTTCATTCTCAATAATTAGTGATATATACCATCATTACCGGCGGAGGTACTATACAATTCTACCGGCGTGATAACACAATAGTAATAAATTGGCTTCTGAGAGTAACAATTGTCTCCCGTGTCGGTAATGTTTTTGTTACCAGAGCGTTGACATTAGGGGTTTGAGCAGGATTTAGCCTCCGTATATATACAGATATTACCCTTATTCGGTGACAAATTATTACCGAAGGGGAAAAATTACGTAATACCTCCGCCGGTAATAATCGTATCAAAAAATTATTCAAGTGTAATTTTAACCTTTTTTTCAGTCGTGATCACTTCGAAGGAAGCGATTTCAACCGTTCTAACAAACGAGGCTGCCTTTGGTCGCGATCGGATGGGAACATTTCATGATCGCACGGCCGGAAAAAATCTGGGAATTGTGACCGGCGAAGGGGAAATGTGGGAAAAGTCAAGAACATGGACGTTTAAGAATTTAAAAGAGTTTGGGTTCGGAAAATCGTCGGAAATGGAACATTTTGTTCAGGCAAGGAAAATAATTTATAATTATGTTCTTAGAAATCCAGTATTAAATTAATACCAAGCGGTATTCATATATGACTACCAAACAGGCATTGATATGTAATACCGCGTAGTATAGTAATACCTCGGTACCTAAATTTTACCATATCGGTAGCAAATTTTTACTGACCGGTATAATTTTAATGCCAACCGGTAGCAACTTTAATACCGATAAATCAATGCCTGGATGACTATACAAGATTTCTAACAGGGTAACAAATATCAGCGAATAAGGTTCCAAGTTTTACAAAATTTTCCGAATTTCATATACATTTTTTCTCGAAAATTTATTGATTTCTATTTGCAATTTTGCAAGATTATGTACCTAACAAACTATTTGCTAAACTGGTTGCGATCGAAGTAAAACATTGACATGAGTACACCCATTTCCAACAAATTCATGCCAAACGAATTTCCAAACTATTGAAAAAATTAGAAGAATAGGTAGTTAGATATATATTAACAATGCGAATTTCTCGTAAATATTTTGATCACCGTAGTACATAAATTAGTTATGCATCTCGTCAAAGTCAAGTGAAATCGTAAACTCAAAAAAATTCATAACTTTCAAAACGTTACAAAATCGAAAAGTTTTGGCATTTCTCCATTCAACGCCAATATCAATTTTTGTCTGAAATTTGTACAAAAAATATATCGCAGGTGTATTATCCATGTTGCATTATCTCGAATTAAATAAAATTCTGATTGCTATTATTGTACATGTTAAAAATCTGGCAGAGTAACATAGATACTCCGTGCTCGCATTGATTTCGTAATATTATTGACACTTATGTACTATCTCAAGAGTGTATCACATTTCGATGCCTAAAATACGGCAACGGGGGTGAGTTTGAATCTTTTGTGAAAACCAAGCAGTATTTACTATGTACTCGTATTGTGCGAAAAATAAAATGGTCTGAGGTATCACTCGACACCTTAAATAATTCCGCCTGGCTTACCCTTCAAAAAAGCGAGGTGAGTAATCCAGAGAAAGACGTAATTTATAAACTTTTGCACAATACTGGTCTAACGCCAAAAATGGCTGAGTCAATGGGCATACATGAGGGTAGGGATTGCCCCTTTTGTCCATTTAAAGATATAAAATCTAGTCATTATTTTAAATGTGTCCATTTTCAGCCCCTCTGGCTTTTTATTTCAAAAATTCTCAGCAGAGACCTGACTAATGTCTCTCGATCAGGGATTAATGGGTCTCGAAATATGAAGTACGATAATATATTTATTTATTATGGTCTTTGCACGATATATAAGTCCTATGTTCACTTTCTAAATCACTTTGGGGACAATTTTGATTATTTGTCCCACTTTAGGCACATGGTTTTCGGACGAATATTGTCTGAATTCCATGTTTGCATGCGAGGTGGGAAAGTTTTGATGGACAATTTCCATCGAAAATGGAAAAAATATAAACTATACACTATGATCAACAATAGAATAAACATTAATCTCAATTTAAAATAATATTTTGATAAAATTTCCCACCTTCAGGTAGTTAAAATATTCTTACATAAGCATGTATTATTCTACAAATCTCTTCCTAAGAATTATTTATTGACTTGTCATTGTACTAAATAACGTGGTCATGAAGCAGAGTGAGTCAGAGGCAGTGTTTAATTCCTACCCCTGATGACACAAGTAAAGTCCTCCTCCCAAGAAGATCCACCGCCGTGGGAGACTAAACTGTAATTAGCATTTAATTTTACTTCTTGTATTAAGTTGCATTTGGCACATCTTTCCTAAATTCTTTTAAAGAACCTATAGAAATTTCAAAAAATGCGAGCGTACCCGGGTTGGGAAGGTTCTTTATTTTCAGTCATTTCCTAGCACTTGGCATCGGTAAGGTTAGGGACGCGTTGACATACCCACAGCCCCAGGGAGGATCCCAACCCATTACCTGGCGTCGTGGGTATGTCAACAACTTAGGTGTCAGGTTAGGCTGAATCTTCTTATTTCCTTATCATATAAAGCCATTTCTTTCAGTTTTTCGTGAATGAATGAAATACGAAATTATATCTCTAAGTTTTCGGCATATTTTAAATCATGGCCTAATTATAGCTGCATTTGTATGATGATTCTTCCGTTTTTTTTAGAATAGTTGTGTTTGGAATTCTCATTGTACGAACTAATCTTAAATATATGTAATAAAGGGTTGAAATTCCCTAAATTTATTTGAGTCGAAAAAAAAAAAAAAAATTTGGTAATAATTTCCTACCGGATTGGTAGTAGTTTGTTCCTGGTGGTAAATTTTTCATTACCAAAACATTACTGAACGGTAATTGCCTCGTTATTACCAGTGCCGGTAGATTCACATATGTACTCCGGTCAGTAATGATTTAATACCAGTTTTTTAAGAGTGTAGAGTTACACAAAATCGTAAATTCTGTACAATTTGTAATTCTCAGAGAGACAGAAATATTTAAGTTCTGCAAATCAAAAGGCTCTTTACGGTTATGTAAATGTGTATAAAAATTTGTTCAGTCATCTGTTGTTGACGTGTTCAACGTCAAAATTATCACTTTTTGCGGAAATCTAATCGTTACAAATTGTGCATCAAGATTTAATTGTCTCAGAAACTTTATCAGTTAATCATAATTTATTAAAGAAAAAGCCATGTGTTTCTAATAATTGGAAATATCAAATCCGTAATGTGCAAAAGTTTATAAGATCTCAACATGCAAATTTGTGTCCTCTTTTTGATGTAACATAAAAATTGCGAGGTTTACAAAATTTAGTATTTTGTATTAATTGGGTCGCAAGCATATTTTCTGGGCTTGCATTCATCTATTTATTGCCAAATATGTGTTAACTATGAGTCAAAATGACAGTATTTATTTTGGGTCAAGCTTCTACCCCATCTATTTCTAAGAACTCAATGTACATAATCTAAAAATATATATAACGGCGTTTGCATATGCAAAATTTAATTGCAGTTTTGCAAAATTAATATAAACAGTTTTGCAAGATTATCGGAAACGTTTTTGCTAAATTATTCCAAAAGTTGTGCAAAATTATTCAACACGGTTTTACCAATTTATTACATACGGTTTTGCAAAATTAGCCAAGTATTTGTTAAATGAGTTCTAATTCGAGGTGAAGGTTGACAGTTTATAAAAATATTTAGTTAGTTTTTAATCTAAACTTTTGGAAATCCAGTATTAACATAATACCAATCGGTATTCATATGTTACTCTACCAAAGTGGTACTGATTAGTAATACCGTGTAGTAATAGCTCGGTATTAAAGTTTTCCCCTATTGGTACCAAATTTTTACGGACTGGTATAATTTTAATACCATGCGGTAGCAACTTTAATACCGAGAAATCAATACCTGCCTGACAATACCAGATTTATAACAGTTTAATATTAATCCAAAATTCAACATTCAAATTGACAAAATCAATGTTTTCAAAATCATATTTACGAACTCTTGCAAATTTCCCAAAACATTTTGCCTACAAAATTTTGCTTGAAACTTTACCCTGCAAGATATAAATAGTCGATTTTAAATCTAATATTCATCTAAAAATCTTTCTCTAGACGTGTTCGGACTCGCTAATTTCGGAAATCGACGCCATCATCGGGACTTCCGGTGTCCTTGAGGTCACACAACTCTTCAGCTCTGCCATCTACACGATAATGTGGCAAATGGTGGAGGGTCGGATAAAACCCGGGGATGAGGACGACATCAAAATGTTAGTCGTTAAAAGCGACGCTTTTATTCGATCGAGAAGTCGTGGGAGTGGAATTGTCAATTCGTTCCCCTTTTTGAGATTCGTCTTCCCACAAACTTTGGGATACAATGATCAAATGGCGTTTTTCAACAGTTGCAACAAAGTAGCCGGAGTAAGTGAAAACTTTCATGGTGTTTATGCGAACTTGTATAAATTTTGGGAAAATTAGGCTCCGAACAAAATTCAGTGAAAATTTCAAAATTTTGCGTCACTTTAATCCCCCAGAATTGAAAACCTTGAGGATCACGTGAATTAAGTTATTGGTTAGATGTGGTCGTTGTTTCCTTACTCGTTGCGTACGTTAAAAAGTTATACATCAACAAAAATCGACGGAACTTATAAAAGACGTACCCGATTATCAACCAAAATGCTGATTTTCCATCGAAAGTTTTGAGGAAATTTACGCAGTTGTGCGCTTTGTAAAATAATTTTGCAAATTATTATAAAACAAAATTAAAGGACGCCCTTGATCTGAGTTAGTTTTCAAAAATTTTAAAGCGAATTTTAGTTTGGAATATTTGTAAAAGTTTGGAAGTTTACGGATTGTAGAAAATTCACCAAGTAATTCGCGAATTTTCGTGAATTTACGTTTTGACACGTGAAATCGTAAATTTACGCAGTTTACAGAATTTTCTAAGTTTCAAAATTTTTACAAATACTCCTGAAGTTTCCTGTCAGGCTTCAACCCGATCGAACACAAAAATCTGTCTTTCAAATTTTTTACATAGTTTAACGACACGATTTGTATTAATATAATTATGAAGTTGATAAAATAAGAAAGCTAGGTAAATGTGGAATATATCAACAATTAAATAACTTATGAGTGAATGCAAAACTTCGGAAACCTGCAAAGTTTACGTAAATTATTAGTTTTTGTACATTTCTCCTTATCTTTTTTTAAGAAACTTTACCTCGACGCGGAATCCAGACTGAAGGAAAATCCAACCTCCACACCGACCAATTTAGTGGAATCATTCGTCAAAAATTTCTCAAATGATGCAAAAATATTTTGTCGTAATGGAACAATTACTTAATTCAGACAATTCACGCAGGCCTTGGGAACTTTGTAAAATACGTAAATTCTGTAAACTTTACAAAATTTTAGAAGCATATCTGAAGAAAAGTAGCTACAAATTTTTGTAATATTACTCGGACCAAGGGCGTCTCTTTATTTTGTAAAAGTTTGTAAAATTACTTTACACAATTTACGGATTTTACAACGTTACTAAGGACTGCGTGAATTGCCTCATTATTTTACTAGATTAATTTATGTCTAAAATTTCTGTGTGAAATTTTTGATTTAGGCGAAAACTTCCAAATAGTTTTTCAAGATTTGCTCATCGGCAGTACGGACACGTCCAGCTCGTTCATGGAGTGTGTCATTCTCTACTTGATTTCCTATCCAGAGGTTCAACAGAAAATTTACGAAGAAATTGTCGCAATTCAAGGGGGTCCGGGAGAGAACAAATTTATTACATTTTTGGATAGAAAGAGGTTAATTTATGGAAATTATGATCGATTCACGAGGATGTTTGTAACCGATTAAAATTTTCATAATTGTTTAAATAACTTGATAAAAATAAGTTTATTCCAATATTACGATTAATGAAATCATTTTAAGTACATAAATTTATATCGAAAAATCTAAACGACCAGCGCCTTAAATAAAAATATATTTAATGTAGTCAGTTGAAACTTTGTAAAATCCAGAAAATCCGTAAACTTGCAAACTTTTACAAATATTTCGGAGGAAAATCAGCCTGAAAACTTTTTGTAAGTTTACTCATATTAAGAGCGTACTTTTATTTTATTTTATAATAATTTATAACGTTGTGTTACAAAATTTATGGATTTTACAAAGTTACTAAGAACTACTTGAATTGTCTCAAATATTACGAATGAGAATCGTCTTATAGACAATCAATCTATTACAAATTTTCACCGATTTAAGATGTTAAATTTAAAAAAAACAATATTTGTCGTAAAAGTTGCACAGTTTACAAACATCCTCGTTAGTCAGGGTTGATTTGAATGAGAATTAAATTACCATTTGATAATTGCTTTAAATATGTAGCATGCCATATACGCAAGCGTTCCTCCTGGAATTACACAGGAATGCGAAAATTTTGCAAAATTCAGTTCCTCGAAGAGCCCTGTGGGATTTCAAGTATAAGAATTACGTCATTAAGAAGGTAACAAGTAATTTATTCGATTTTAAAATAATTTGAAATGCCGTGGGGAAAGTCGATTTAAATTAACTTAGCAAACCTCGCAAATTACAAGTGGTTGTCATATTTAAAACTCATAAAATTCTTTATTATAGTGGCAATTTCGGGGGTAAATTTTACTTAGTCCTTCGTAACTTTGTAAAATCTGTAAATTTGGAGAAATAATTTATGAAACTTTTACAAAATAAAAGTACACACTTACGCCTCACAAATTTTCAAAAATTTGAGATGCAATTTAGCTTCGAAATATTTGTAAACGTTTACAGAAATGGATTTTACAATGTTACCAAGGCCTGTGGGAATTACCTCATTGATAAAATTGCGAAACAAAGTTTGCAAAAATTTTTGAGACAATTTCATGCCACAAATTAAATACGATAGGCTTAGGATTAGTTAAATCGGTGAAGAGGTGAAATTCAAGATGTGTTTAATTAATTCCAGGACACGGTAATCCTGACCGATATGCGTCTCTACTACGAGGACAAATCCATCTGGCAAGATCCCGAAACATTTCGTCCAGAACGATTTTTAACTTCGAATCGCGAAATTTGCAATGCTGCAAACATCATTTCTTTCTCCGTTGGTAAGTAAATTTAACCAAATTAACCCCCAATCTTTTCGTAACACAGTAATCTTTGTAAATTTGCAAAGTTTATAAAGATTAAAAAAAGACAAAATCAAATTACTGATAAAAATTGATCCTAAATGTATACAAGTAATGAGCATCTCTACAAGTTTTTACAATTTTGATAAAGTTACACAGGTTACCAAAATTAGCGTGAATTGACTCATTATTAACGGCCTACCTTCCACTGAAAAGTGTGGAGGGGGACTTTTACAAAGACTACAAAGTTTACAAAGATTACAAAAAAACAGGTTGGGAATAGATCGTAAATGTAATTTATCCAAGTCGTGAGAGTCTCTTGTTTGTATGTACAAGCTTTTTTTAAATACTTTCACGAAAGTTGCAAAGTTTACAAAACTTGGCGTAAATTGCACAACTATTAACTGTCTGAAAAGTATGAAGCAAGATTTTTTTTGCGTAATTCGTCTGTTTCGATAAAATAACCCTTCTCGGTCAAAACATTTGGATCTAATTACAAACTCCGTTGCAATTATTATCCGGTTTTAAATTTTGGCGTTTAAATGCAACAGAAGAAATACACATCGACTTTTTTTCGTATTTAGAATAAAATTGCAAAGTTAATCGAGAAATTTGGAGTTTCCGAATTTTCTGCTAATTTTTCACTTAAGACTACATTTTTTCACTTTCAGAATCCTGTCCTATTTTCTTATTCATAATTCTAATTAAATTAACTTAAAATAGTTTAAATGTTTGGGGGTTAAATTACAAACAGAAAAAAACATCAGCAGCTTAAAAACTGATCATAGACGTATCCAAGTCGCAAGCTGTTATATTTGTATGTAAAAGTTTTTACTACAATTTTCCTAATGGTACAAAGTTTACACAAAATGGCATAAATTGCCTAACTATTAACTGGCTACCTTCCACTGAAAAGTATGTGATGGGAGATGTTTTTTGATGCAACTGGTCTGTTTCGAGAAAACATGACCCTGAACGATGAAAATATCTGGTTACAAATTGCACTGCAATTATTTTACAGTTTTAAATTTTGGCCTTTAAATACACTGAGAATAAAATGTAAGCAAATTGCTACTGGGCGGTGTCTATATATGACCTCACGGGTTTGGTAGCGTAACAGCGGGATAAGGAAATGCTACAAGATGGTAGCAAATTTACTACAATTCTGTAGCAAATCGCTACCAAACCGGTGAGGTCATATATAGACAACGCCCAGTAGCAATTTGCTTACATTTTAATCTCAGTGTGCAACATAAATAAATGTACACCGACTTTTTCATGTCCTTCGAACAAAATTGCAAAATGATTCGAGATAGGATAGAAATTCGCGCCTCGCGCTCAAATTAGCGCATTATGAAAAATGAAAAAATACGGGTATGCTAATTTTTTGTGGTGAACAAAATAAAATTGGTCCCAACCAGATCTGAGTTGTACACGTAAAAGACTTGCATTGTTAGTTGATTTATAAAAAATCCACTTGCAATATTTTTTGAAAATTTAAAAATTTGAAAGAGTTTTTAATTTTATTGAATTTCAAAAACCGGCAAAAAATTCCGAAATTCAAATTTCAAGATGATTGGATTTTTTATAAGTCAGGTTATCTAAAAACATTACCTATTTTTCACATATCTACTTACAAAAGTTTAGAAAATTGAAAAGTTTTGTCAGTTTTATTTTTTCGCTGTGCAACGCCATTATCGGTTTTTCCATAAAATTTGTATATTTTAATTGTCACAGGTGGCATTGCCATAATGTATCCGACATAAAATTATGGTTTTAAATGTTTTAAATTTTGGGTTTTTCGTAAAATTTTGAAATCTTGCCAATTTAGAAACTATAATTATAGAAGTTACATTCTATTTAAACACAAACACAATCTGAAAATCTGTTTTAAATTGTTTAATTTTTATTGAGGGGCGATAATTTACACTTTAGTTTTTTCTGCAAAATTTTTCTATGTAAAGTCAACAGTACAAAATCAACAAGCTCGCAAAATCCGAAGCCGTTCGTGTACCTTTTTTTTCCTAATTAGTAATTATGCTTTAATAATTTTATGTATTTCAAGTTGCGGGGTTTTAATGACGCAAAATTTTTAAAATATACAATTTTCGAAACTAGGGCGATTATGCATTATGAAAAATCGCGGAAATTTGTATTTATAACATTTACGAAAAGATGGTAAAATATTTACTAAGTATGTACAAAGGAACGTAAAAATTAAAAAGCTAGACTGATTTTAAATTAAAATGATGGATATTTAATTTAACAGACAGAGGGCGGACATGTATTTAGTTAAAATTTTTAACTTTATAAAAACAATGTCAAAATGATTGTCTTAATTTTTGTTAAATTTTTGCCTAATTTTACCAGGAAAACGAAACTGCCCAGGAGAGCTGTACGCAAATCTGGTGACGTTTCTCTTGACCACAATTATCGTGGGACGATACAAGCTCAGCGTTCCCGTCGGCCAGGAAAAACCAAGGCTCGACCTGAGACCTGGGTTCGCCTTTAAGCCGTACCCATTCCAGGCTACGTTCACAAAACGATAACCAATCCGAAAATACTTGATGACTAAAAAAATCTTAAAACATTACAATTAAGAAATACACATATTATTTGACCTCATTAAAATCTAGCAATTACCCAACTTTGATAGAAATAATTTCAAAAAATTGGAAAAAAGTAATAAAATATAGTCTCAGCCTCAACGAGGACTCGATGACTAATCGTCAAAATCGCTACAATCAGTACATTTACAATCATTTCTCGGCTGTGGGGAAACAAAAAAGTAAAAAAAAATTCGACATAAAATGAAATTTCCGAAAGCCATTCCCGATACCGTAAAAAATGTCTCGTAAAATGAGAACTTTTACTAAAATACAATCGAACCTAAGACGTTTTCCTTCATACAAATTTCACACACAAATGATACTGGCGTTGAATAGCGATCAACTGGCAAAACTTAGAAAATGTTGTTTATTTCTAATTTTCATGTAAAACTACATGCGCCCTTAGACTTATTGGCAAAGATTTGTTATCCAATTTTCCCCATTTCTTGTACGATTTTGCAAACTTTTGTGGGTCAAAGTAAAGGAAACAATGGGATAGATCGCGAAGCCATAGGAAACTTGTAAAATCCATAAATTTTGTAAAAAATAATTTTACAAACTTTCACAAAATAAAGAGACCTCCTAGATCTGAGTAAGTTTAGTCAAGTTTGTAAGCTCATTTTGCAGTAAAATATTTATAAAATTGTATAAAAGTTTGCAAGTTTCCAGAATTTATGGGTTTATGAATATTTATTTTACATATATGCAATTTTACGAATTTATGTATGTATTATATTATATTACACAAATAAAAAATTTGGGAATCGTGACCAGCGAGGGTGAAATGTGGGAAAAGTCGAGAACATGGACGTTTAAGAATTTAAAAGAATTTGGTTTCTGAAAATCGTCGGAAATGGAACATTTTGTTCAGGCAAGGAAAAAAATTTGTGACTACACTCTAAGAAATCCAGTATTAAAATAATACCAAGCGGTATTAAGAAGTTATACCATGCAGTAATGGCTCAATATTAAAGTTTTACCGTATCAGTAGCAAACATAATTTTAATACCGAGCGGAAGCAACTTTAATACCGACAATCAATACCTCCCAGACTATACCAGATTTCTAACAGTGTGTTCAATGAATAAGTTTTGAGAAATTTTCCAAATTTCATATGAATTTTTCTCGAAAATTTATAGATTTCTGTTTTCAAATTTTGCAAGATTATATACTTAACAAACTATTTGCTAAACCGGTTACGAGCGAAATAAAAAATTGACGTGAGTACGCCCATTTCCAAAAAATTCATGCGAAACAAATACGTAAACTGTCTAAAAAATTAGAAGAATAATTAGTTTAATTATTTTAACAATGTAAATTTCTCGTTAAATTTAGATGATTGCAAATAAATTAGTTGTACATCTCATCAAAATCAAGTGAAATCGTTAACTCGGAAAAAATTCATAACTTTCAAAAGTTTGCAAAATCGAAAAGTTTTACTTTTTCGCTATTCGACGCCATTATCAGTTTTTATGTAAAATCAGTATTAGAAATATGTTTTAGATACTCCTTGGATTATCCCCAATAAAACATAATTCTGATTTTTATTGTTATAGAGTACACAAAACAACATAATTGAAATCGTAAACCCTGTAAAATCTGTAACCTCCGAGAGTTTTGAAATTATGCAAATCAAAGGGGTCGTTACGGTTATGTAAATATATGTATAAATTTGTTCATTGGCCTATTTTTTACGTGTTTTTGCCCAAAATTTATATCGCTAAAAATTGTGCATCAAGATTTGATTGCATCAAAAACTTCATCAGTGAAATTTTAAAAATCAAATAACTATGTGATTCTAACAAGTGAAAATTACCAATCCGTAATGTGTAAAAATTTATAAAATCTTAATATGTAAATTTGTGTAGGACGTACTGTTTTCGATGCAACATATAAATTGAGAGGTTTTCAAAATTTAGTATTTGCAAACTTTGTATTAATTGCATTGCTAGCATATTTTCCTGGCTTGCATTCATTTATTTATTGAAAAATATTTGTTAATGACAAATTAAAAAGGCACCGTATTGGTACTTTTATGGTCTAAGTTTTTACTCAATCTATTTCTTGATACTAATTGAACATAATCTAAAAATATATATATGTAACGGCGTTTGTATATGCAAAATTTAATTGCTAAATTTAATTGCAGTTTTGCAAAATTTATATAAAAATTTACAAAAATTCAAACTTTTGAAACATTATTGGAAACGGTTTCGAACCTATGTAAATTTTAGGAAAATTGGGCTCCAAACAAAATTCAGTGAAAATTTCAAAAATTTGCGTCATTTTAAACCCAGAATTGAAAATCTTGAAGTTCAAGTAAATTAAAGAAGTAAATAGATTTCATATTTGTGTATGTTAAAAAGGTATATTAAAAAGTCTTCTATTAATAAAAATTCACTAAACCTGTAAAAAGCGTACCGAATATCAACCAAAATGCTGATTCTTCAACGAAATCTTTGAGAAAATTCAAGCAGAACTTTGTAAAATCTAAAAGTTTTGTAAAATAATTTTCCAAACTTTTACAAAATAAAAAGACTCTGTTGGTGTGAGAAAATTTTCAAAAATTTTAAGAGTGAAATTTCCTTTCAAATATTTGTAAAACTTTGTAAGTTTACGGATTTGAGAGAGTTACCAAGGATTTCGTGATTTGTCTCTTTGTAAACTTGCAAGTATGACATGTGGACACCCAAATTAATTCAGTTTACGAAATTTTCTACGATTCAAAAATCTAATCGGTTTTCAAAAATACAGAAATTGCCGTTAATCAGAAGCCTGTTGTCAGGTTTAAAATCACCTAAACATAAAAACCGTCTCAAATTTTTTACATAGCTTAACGACACAATTTGTATTTTTTAATTATGAAATAAATAAATAAAATAAACTAGGTGAAACAGAGGTCCAGAAATAATTTATGAAGCTCTACAAATCAGAAAACTACAAAGTTTACAAAGGCGTCAAATTTCATTAACGTATCCTTTTTAAAACCTATCTTCAAAATTTTAAGAAACTTTACCTCGACGCGGAATGCAGACTGAAGGAAAATCCAACCTCCACACCGACCAATTTAGTGGAATCATTCGTCAAAAATTTCTCAAATGTAGCGAACTTTTTTTACGCAACTTTGATATCAACAATTTCAAAAAATTGGAAAAAAAGTAATAAAATATAGTCTCAGCCTCAACGAGGACTGGATGACTAATCGTCAAAATCGCTAAAATGAATAATATGCAATCATTTCTCGGCTGTGGGGAAATGAAAAAGTGGAAAAAAAGCATACAAAGAAATTTACGAAAGCTATTCCGAATACCTGTAAAAAAAAATGTCGCGGAAAATTAAATCTTTTATTAAAGGGAAGTAAAATCGAACCTAAGACGTTTTTCATTCTACTAAATTTCAGACAAAAATTGATACTGGCGTTGAATAGGGCAAATTGAAAAGGCAAATTTATTTTTATTTGTGAATATCACAAATAAATAGTATTTTTTAAGTTTTGCAATTTTTTCCAAATCCAACGCCATTATCAGTTTTTGGCTGAAATTTGTGTGACCAAAAACGTTTTAGATAAATACGCTGTCAGAATCCACAAAATTCATTTCTTGCAACATTTTCTTTGTTTTGTTGGGAACTGTGTATGACTTTGTAAAGATGAGGAAATTTAATAAGGCGATCTCACAACATTCACCATGTGAATGTCACAAACTTTGTGACACAAAGAAATAGTATTTAAAAGTTTTGTCAACACCGTTGGCAGATTTTTCGTGAGATGTGTATGACAGAAAATGATATGGATTCGCTCTCAGTTGTTGATATAAATGCTATGTGATTGGAATCATAAACTCCAGAAAATCTTGATCCTCCCAGAGTTAAGGGAATTTTGAAATTTGCACAAGTTATCTTTAAGAATGAGATGGGAATTTTTGTATAATGCGGCAATTCACGCAGTCATTTGTAAAATCTTTACAAAATCCGGAACCATGACTAGAGGAAGGTGACAAAAATTTGGAAGTTATGCAGACAATGAATTGTCTCATTGAGTAATTGAGTAACTTATAAAATCCGTCGTTTTTTCAAAATAATTGTGTAAACTTTCACGAAATAAGAAGACGCTCTTTATCTGAGACAGTTTTCAAAAATTTGTGAGCTAATTTTAATATTTGGAAAAGTTTCCAAGATTTCGCACCAACCTTGTATTACTTAATTGAGTCTTACGTTTCGCACGTTTCGTAAGTTTCATCTATTTTTTGCAAAATATTTGCTAACTCCAAATTACATTATCTTATGTCTAGCTACAAGCGTATCTACCGCTAAAAACCTAATGACAAGATTCTCAAAATATATCTAACGGCGTTTAAAATCATAATTATTTCACAAAAATTATGAAATATTTGTAAAAAAAACAATGATTGAGAAATCTTGGAAATTTTTAAACTCTTTTGCCGGAACATCTTTGCTCGAAACCTTGCCATACAAGTCGCTATACGCTTATCTATGTTTTTTGGTATTATTTAGTAGATGTAATACCACGTAGTAATGGATTGATATTAAAAAATTACCATATATGCAACAAATTTTTACGAACCTGTTCCAAAAATCTAAGCGGGTTTCAAAATTTTCGTAAATACTGAGATTAAGATATTTAAAAAGATTTATAAAAAGATCTTTATATAAATCTAAATAAACCTGATTTATAAAAAGTATGCTATCAAATTCCGAATCGATTAAACACTTTCTCTTAAATTTGTTATCTTATTTACATTAATTTATAAAATCCGGCATTTTCTCAAAAAAAATTAGCAAATGCTCACAAAATAAGAAGACCCCTTTGATTTGAGACAGTTTGCAAAAAATTATGGGCTAATTTTACTTAGAAATGGTTGGAAAATTTTGGAAAAGTTTATAAGTTTATGGATTTTACTATTAGTAAAATCCATAAACTTATTATAACTTAAATTTAAACTTAAACATATCGTATCTAAATATCGTACGTAACGCTATTATGTAGTGCTGTTCACGAGCTGGCGAAGTTAGCGTCCCAAGAATTTCGATTCTTTTCTTGCACGAGGAAATGGAAATAAAATACAGAAACCAATTTTGTGTTCCGTTTTTTTTGGTCATGTCCCACATAGTTA